AGGAACCTTTCAATACATGGTAAGTTTTGTCTCATTTAATTCAATCTAAGAATTTACTTTCTAAAGGCTCCTGAAATTTATGAAAAACGAATGCAACACAAACCGAAAGATTTCCAAAAAGAATATCTTCTCACGGCATTGGATGTTTACAGTTTTGGAGTTACAATGTATGAATTATTTTCTCAAAAACACATTGAAAATAATGAAAGATTAACTTGCTTTCTCTCAACAAACGAATTATTGGAATTATTTCCTTGTTTAACACTCAATCAAGCCAATGAAGTTATTAGAATAGGAAATAGTTGTTTGGAATATAATCCAAAATCAAGACCATCATTTGCGGAATTACAAAAACATTTATTGAAATTAACAGCAAACATTTTACAAAATGAACAAAAAGAACAACCTTCCAAAAAAAGGAAATTAGTTCCAACATTACAAACAATTCAAACTAATGAAAAAAGATCAATTGTTATTGGATATAACCCTTTAGATAGATCTGGAATTCAAACTCCACTAAAATCATCTTCAAATTTTACAATAATTAATACTTTTAATACTTTACAAAATAATAATTCACAAGTTGTTGGTGAGTTCAATGACAGATTTCCACCAAATAATAATAATAATGGCAATTCAGCAAGTGTAACCAATAATATTCAGGATTCGAATAGTCCAGTGTTTTACAACTTGAAATTCTAATAGTTCACAATTTTTTAAAAGAGGAATAAAAATAAACATTAAAGTTATTAGCTCAATTATCATGAGCCCAATTCAAGAACATCACCTGCCAAACTTTTTCAGGTAATTTAGAAAGAACACTCAAATCAGTAAAGAGTTGCTTCTTGTTGGTAACTCCAAATCTAATAATTTCTTTGAAAAATCCTTCAAATACAGGTAAATCCAAATACTGTTCACATGTTGATACAATGGAAAAGTAATTTTGAATGGAGAGCGTGAAATTAATACAATAATAATCGACTAAATATTTAATTTCATGTTTCATTGCCATGTCTAACAATCCAGAAATTTTTTCATTGTCGAATGAAATTCCATAACAATATTTGATGATAATTTCCAATAATTCCAAATCTTCTGATTCATCTGGTGTGAAAATTCCATTATTAAAATCACTAAAGGATGATCCACTTTCAAATAGGGCAGCAAAGAAGGTACTAGTGGTGCTCAAAACAGTTTTGTGACAATATAAATACTTGTCTTCTCCCATTTTGATTTGAATATCACTTGTTTTCTTATCGTTAAATAATGATTCTAATGTTTGTGGATTAACTTCAATTTTTTCTTCAATGTTGATTGGGGTTGGTTGACCAAGTACCAATTTTGGGAAAAAAGCAGTAGCATTTCGCAAAACTATTGGAAGGGAAGACAAAACAGCACTTCCCTCTGTGGTCTTCATTTTGACAGCAACAAATTCAATACAGAAATTGTTCAAGCATTCAAGAATGTAATTTTCATTTCCAAAATCTTTGCATGTCATGATCAGCGATTCAATTTTTTCCCATTCAGCAGGAAATTCTTTCAAGGTAATGGAATTAATAAAATCACTTGTCAATGATCTTTTAAGCTCAATAAATTCGCCATTTTTAAATAATCCTAAAATAAATAATACATCTAATAGTTCATTCTTTGTAAAATTCAATTGATTATTATCATATATGAGAGAATTAATTAGTTTTTGAATAATTGCACGTTGTGAAGCATTCATTGACCAAATTATCTTTTCATTTTTCAGAATTTGACTGAATTGAATTGATATTCTTTCAATTAGTGGCATGAATCCATAAATTTCCAATCCAAATAATTGATCTCTTGAATATTTTTTCAAACTATGAAATTCTATTCTTCTAGTTAAAGAGCTACTATTTCCGAAATGAGGATAGAGTGAAATATCAAATGGAGAATCTCCACTGAATCCAGGTGTTCCATTTCCAGCTATTGTTACAATATTTCCATTATGTAATACCTTTCTAATTCTATGATTAAAACAGTCAGATATATAAACTTCATTATTTGATGAAACAAAAACACCTAAAGGACTATATAATTGTGCATTTGTGCAAGGCCA